ACTGTGAAAACAGTCAGAAATAGCTGCATCTGCCGATAGCCTGTCATTGTATTGTACAGGCTCGGTGGCCACAGCTATCCACACACAGGTTTCAATCCCAGCTGCAGGAATTAGCCCATGTAAATACAACCTAAGACTCAATAATAGCCAACCTTACTGTGCAAGCTGAGCAGGCGCAAAGAGCACCATGTTGTGGTAGACAGTATAGTCACAGATTGTTTCTTATGACATACGTTCAGAGTTAAAAGATTTAAAACCAGTGAATGTGTGCTGTTCCCCTCATATTTGTTATTTAACTGTGCATTGTATCACCAATTCTTATTTCACCATGTTTGTTTCTATGTCTTGATCTGTTGCTGCCATCTGCTGGCCAGAATTTGCATGCTGCATGCCTCTGTTATAGCTAGTAAGTTTTCTCTCTGCTGGGTGTGGTTTTAGGCAAGCCTTGGTTCTGGTCACTTCCTGCAGCCATTTTATCTGCTATATAGCTGTGTGACAGGACATTCAATACCCTGGGCTTGTGAAGGCATCAGTTTTTGACCAGCAGTTAGCCTCAGGAGAGATATCGCAGGACAGCATCAATACCTCTACTACCTTACAGTATTGTATCACTGTTTGTCGCTGTATTTTGGACCAAATAAACCCACGCTGATTTCATTCCCGTGTATACGTTTGGATCCATCTAACCTGAACATCTGCCGGTCCGGTCTGCTCCACTGCTTGGATACGAAGGTAGGAAGTTACACAGCCATTATCAGTTATACCTTCATTCGCCTTCATGTGGGGACAGAACAGAATGCACTGCCTACCACATTATGGTGCCCTTTGCAACTGCTCTGGTGGCACACTAAGGCTGCTTTCACACTGCTCTCTGGTAAAAACGCATGTGTTTTTGCAGCATTTTTGATGCATTTCCATGTGTTTCCAGTGCATTTTCTGGCTGCAGCCGCCTTTGTAAAATGGACACGTGACTCAAAAAAAAAAGGCACCAAAAACACAAATGCTATGTGTTTTTGCCTCGATCTATATTCTTATCAATGGGAAGAGGCGTTTTTGGTGTGGTTTTGAAAAATCGCACCAAAGATGCTGCATGCAGTACTTTTCAAAACACACCACACCCACAGCACAGTAGTGAAGAGTCACCTAGGATTTAAAGGGAAATATTTTTCTTGCATTTTAGCTTACATTTTTAGCAAGGTAAAAACACATCAGTGTGAAAGTAACCTAAGCCATCCTTACTGTGCAACCATACCAAGCATTGCAAAAGGCACCACGTTGTGGTAGGCAGTGCACTCACAGCTTTTTATAACACATTCATTTTATAACACATATAACATACATTCTAAAACTACCTGCCATAATATGGTACTTGTTCCACCTAAATACTGCCATAATATGGTACTTGTTCCACCTAAATACTGAACAGATGCAAAGAGGACCATGATATTGTGGCAGTGTATTAGTTTTTGAATCTTTCAATCAGATTCTGTGTTATAAAAAGCTGTGTGTGCTCAATGCACTGCCTACCATATTTTGGTACCTGCACTAGGGCTGAGAGATATGTTGGGCCAGGGCACTGAAGACAGATATGTAGCAACAAGTCGGAGGGCTCGGGGGGCATCAGCAGAAAATAAATAATAATAAAAAAAAGAAAAAGCCACAGTCGCTTACCTATGTATAACAGTGGTGGCTGGGCCTGGGTGGTAAGACGTTTGTGACAGATGACTCTGAGGCCAAGGGTTGTAGGCAGACTACTGTATCCTACAGATTAGGCTCCTTGCACTGCAAAAGGCACTGCCAAGCAGCAGCGGGAAACCGCTAGAGTGTGGTGAATGGAACTGCCAGGCAATGGGTGGAGTGATCGGTCAGCTGGCCCAACCATGTACAGCTTAAGTCCCCCTTTACATTGATAAGGGGATAGATCAGGGTCCCCAAAGTCACCTGCTTACATCAGAGTCCCCTCTTTCATTAGGGTTTCCAAATTCTCTCCCTTACATCAGGGCCCCCCAGAGTCCCCCCCCTTTTCATTAGAGTCCCCAGACTCCCCTCTTCTTGAGTCAGTGTCTCCAGAGTCCCCCCTCTGCACATCAGTGTCCCCAGAGTCACAGCCCTTATATCAGGATCCCCAGAATTCCACCTCCTTAAATCAGGGTCCCCAGAATTCTTCATTACATCAGAGACCCCATTTTCATTAGGGTGCTTAAAATTCCACCTATTACATCAGAGTCCCCCTCCCTCTTCATTAGGATCCCCAAAATCCCCCCTTACATTAGGGTCCCCACAGCCCCTCCCCTTGCATCAGGGTCCTCAGAGTTCCCCCTCCTTAAATCAGGGTCTCAGAGTTCCCCCTTACATAATGGTCTCCAAAATTCCCTCGCCTTAAATCAGGGTCCCCAGAGTCCCCCCCAACACTAGGGTCCCTAAAGCCCCCACCCCAATAAATCAGGATCCCCTTTTACATCATGGTCTCCAGAGTCCCGCCACCTTATGTACATCAGGGTCCCCATAGCCCCTTCCCTTATATAAGGGTCCCCCAGAGCCCCCTCCTTAAATCAGAGTCCCAAAAGTCCCCCCAATACATCAGGGTCATTCCGTTACATCATTGTCTCCAGAGTCCCCCACCTTATATCAGGATCCATATAGGACCTCCCTTTACATCAGGGTCCACCAGAGCCCCCCTCTCTAAATCAGGGTCCCTAGAGTTCACACCCCTTACATCAGGGTCCCACTAGTTACCCCCCACATCAAGGTCCCAAGAGTCCCCCCCCTCAATACATAATGGTCTCCAGAGTTCCCCCACCCATAGACTCTCCCTATACATCAGGGTCCCCCAGACCCCCCCTCCTTAAATCAGGGTCCCCAGAATTCCTCCCCCATACATAAGGGTCCCAAAAGTACCCCCAATACATCAGAGTCCCTCTTTACATCAAGGTCTTCAGAGTACCCACACCTTACATCAGGGTCCCTAGAGCCCGTTTGCTTTAATTTTGGTCCCCAAAAGTTCCCCCTGCTCTGACATTAGGATCCTCCTAACCCCCCTTCCCTCAGGGTCTATTTCTTTTCATTGCTAAAGGGCAGCTACATGAGCTGGAAGACAGAAGTTTCGTCCTTGCACCTCTCCTCTTCTGAATGTTGGGGCCTGGGGATGGGAAAAGCATGTGCCAACGTCCTAGCAACCAATCATGTTCTTGCTCCGCCCCCTAGTGCTGACAACACTGGGCAGCAGCGCAGCGGTGGATACTGTCAGCCAGCTTGTTTTCCCAGACAGCTCTGCGCTGTTGGTAAGGATGAACGGAACTGCTCAGGGGAGGGTGCTCTGGGGGAGTGTTCAGGGTTTCCGACACCCCTACCCCCCCCCCCCCCATCTATGACCCTGGATGCGTTCGTTTTTTTTGTTCAAACTGCAGGTTGAACAAAAAAACCTGACCCCCATTCCCCCATCCTCACATTAGAGGTGAATGGGGGAATCCTCCCAACTGTTTCTTTGTACTCTGAAAGTGGGACAGTGAGACTTCTCCACTATCAGAATACACAGATCATTGCTGCAGGCTATAGCCCACAGCACTGATCTAGTGGAAATTTTACATCAGGATGGTTGAACAGAATTTGATTGGTAGATCAACTTCTGTTCAACCATAGTGGACATACATTTATTGAAGTTTGGCTGGTCTCTGCTCCACCAGCCAAATTTTGATCCATGCATGGCCAGCTTTACACTAGAAGTTACTACTAGATGGTTAAGGATGCTCTGTGGAGCACTGTAGTCATGGATTTCTACTCTAAGTACATCACAATGTTTTGTTGAATAATCAGGCACAGATCCCAGCAACATTAAAATACTGTACTTGTCCCGTGGTCTCATTTACCCTTATTTTACATATTATTCTTACTGCAGTCCTTGACCTTTATAAGCTTTATTATGCGATGCACTATGGACACAGAATTTCTTAAACAAGAGATGTTGAGAATATTCACAATGTAAATAGTGTGAATATTTACTTCAATTACCCAATGTGAAACACTAAGTCCTGTTTACTTATTTCATCTGTCCATGAATTAAAGTAGAACTATAGGCAAAAACTTTTTTTTTCATTTTAGAGGGTTATAATCCATGTCAGATTGTTTTTCGCAATCTGTGTCCCATTTCGGAGATTTCCCTTCACTTTCTGTTCCATAACCATGAAATCCCTGCAAATTAAGGGAATTTCTTGGGGACCTCCAGGTCACAAGAACTAGTGTCCCCATTGGAAGACTTCCCAACTATTATTTTTCTGAGAACAACCCAAAATTTAGGATTTTTTTAACTTTCAATAATAATGGTAAACAGGACAAAGCAAAGGGAATCTCCCTAATGGGGGTATGGACAGCAATAAAAATTGACAGGGGTTCTAATCCTTCTCCACTCTATCCAAAAGCTAAAAAAAAAAAAAAAAAAAAAAAGTTTTGCATTTAGTTATAATATAAGTATTCAAAGTATACAGGAATTTCTTGATTAAATAAATAAAGTGAATATCAACACAACACAATATATGTAAATATCAACACAATTTATATGAATATTCTCAATCACTTTAGTAAATAAGCCACAATTTCTAAATACAAATGTATAAAACCAAATGCAGACACCATATTTGCAAAAAAAAAAAAAAAGGACACCACCACTAAAACTCATGTAATGCATTCTTTATTTCTTTTTATTGTCTTGGTGTGAGGGAATATTTTTACAATTGTAAGTGGCCAGGGAAGTGACAATACAATGTACACATTAAGCAGTGTTACAAAAACATATTTTATTTAGAGTTAGACCTTAACCAATTTATATACTGCTGGTCCCTTAGTGGAAAAAAGTTAAGGACATGAGCTCTTAAAACTTGAATAATGTTTTTTATCTCAATATTTTATCTGCTAAAAAAAAAAAAGTATTATATGCTGCACTGAAATCCAAAATGTTTATCCCGATTCACATGTTATTATTGTTATCACATTGTTATCTTCCAAATCTATTTTTCTGTCTTCTGGTCTTCTCTGGGCACCAGATTGAGTATAACAGGTTTTGTTGTCTTTAGGAACCCTGTGGTGTCAATTTTCAGGGGGATCTGTAATACAAGTGGCAGAATTAACAAAACAGGTAAAACTAAATTGTACTTTTACATGATCTCTTATTTCTTGTATAGGATTCAGAAGGCTGTTGTCCATATAGAAATCCATATAGAAATCTCTATTCCAGTAATTATCACCATTTCAGAAAAGTGACAGCAAAGTGATCTTTTGGCTGTAACAACAGTAGGTAAATGATATACTTCTAGTGATAATTTTACTTTTCAGAATATAAATACACATTTACTTTTTAAAATAAAGATAAGTGATTTCTTACTGGAGTATCTTTGCAGGTTCGGAAACTGAAGTTCTGTAGTAGCATGGTGATGGCTGACTTCATGTTGACCATAGCAAACCTCATCCCAATGCAGTTGCGGGGCCCAAATCCAAATGGAAGAAAGGTGTAAGGGTCTTGAATTTCTTTATTCTCCTTACTAAATCTATAAAAAAAAAAATAGTATTAGTATCTTGTCAGTGTTGCTCTGTAAACCTGTACATATGGTGTGGGGCTTGCATATAGATAGTGCCGCATGTGTTTCAAATCTCAGTGGAATTGATGCTACCAAAAAGGTAAAAGTCCCTACTTGTAAAAAAAAAAAAAAAAAAAATCCAACTTCCAAATGATTAAGTTGATACAGTCTGTTTCTTTACAAAGACACTCCAGCCAGTTCCCTCCTTGATATATGCAGTGGGGTAGTGCCAGATCCATCTATTGGCAGGCAATTAAAAAATCTTCATAAACATCATAAAGCTACACAATCATGGAACCCAAAAAAAAAACAAAAAACATTTTGCACTGTAGCACTACATGTCTGAATTTTACCCCCTCCATCCCCAATGTCCACACAGCATTTGGCTTTAAAGTGAACCTGTTGCTTTGCCTTCTATAGTCAAAGTACAGGTTCACTTGAACAAAGTTCTACTAGCATAGTGCAAACTGTTTTAGCCTCACAAACTTTAGGTATTTTTGAAGATAGACACTTCCTAGCACATGGTCTGTCTTAGTACTTCTTAGTATCTCTCTGGTCAAGCTGTAGATCTCTGCAAGTATAGCGAATAGCATTTTTTTTCATTTTGTATAAAATAAGAAATGGCTATAACCCCAGTCAGCTTTCTTTTGCAATCTGTGGCTCTTGGGAGAGATTTGCCTTCACGTCCTGCCTCATAGCCACAACAGGAAAAGAGAAGAATTACATCTAAAGTGAGGGAAAATCCCTGGTTCTCACCGGGGTCACCAGAACTAGTATCTTCACTGGAAAATTTTCCCTTTATTCCTGTTCTGATGTTAACCCACACTTTGGAATTTTCTTTCCCTTTCAATCTTGGAAAAGCATTCCAAGATTGAAAACAGGAACAGGAAAAACAGATTGCATTTCCCTAATTGGTACATGGACAGTTATACAAGCCTAAGAGGTGTTTTAATCTTTGTCCACTCTATCTAAAACAAAACAAAACAAAACCAAAAAAAAAAAAAGGAGTTTTGCCTTTAGTTATACTTTAAAGCCTCCATCTCCTTATGTAGGTTAAAGAAAGGAATATATGTTCAGCAATGCCCTATAAGGATAAATTGAGATTATTTTATCTTTTCCTGGATAACTACTTTAATATTGTTTTTTCTATTTCAATGGTTTTTATTAAATTTTTTAAACAGTATAAACAGAGGCAATAAAACACACCCATGCAGGGGCTATCAATTGCACAGATAAACAAAATGCAAAATAAAAAAAAAGGAAAAACAATGTTCTAATGCCAACAGAGCAAAAGGTACGCCCACGCAGGGGCTATCAATGGCACATAAGTTACAAAACAGTAATGTAACTGATTATAACAACTAAATGCAGCTGTCCAGTCACACCAAAAACAGAGAGAGAGAGAAAAAAGAAAAGAGAGAAAGAAAGAAAAAAAAAAAAAAAAAAAAAAGGGGGGGGGGGGGGGGGGGGCAAAGAGCAGGGATTCAAGAGCGCCAATACCGAACGCCATTACATCCCCAGACTAGCCGGGGGGAGTGAGGGAAGGACATATTGCAACCACGGCTCCCATATTTTCAAAAATTTACGTTGGGAGTCGTTGCGGATACTCGACATCTGTTCGTTGAGCATCATAGTGGTCATACGATCCCGCACCCCCTGAAGAGGGACAAACGGACTCTTCCAGGCCTGAGCAATTGTTCTAGTGGCGGATAAAAACAGATAGGAAGCCAACTTCTGCTGGTGAGCTAAGAGGCCCGGTATGGGGCAATGAAGCAAGGCATACCGAGCATCCCGGCGTATGGAGAGATGGAACAAGGTGAAAAGGAGGCCAAATACACGAGACCAAAAACGAAACAGTCTCGGGCATGACCACCAGATATGTAATACATCACCACGATGACCACAACCCCGAAAACATTGATCACTACAGGCAGGGTTAGCCCGGGCCAGCCGAGCCGGAACCCAGTACCAACGAAACAATACCTTATAGGCTGCCTCCAGTGTGGTCGTATTAAATGAGCATTTAGCTATGAGTGACCAGGCCTTATTCCAGTCCTCCGGATCCACAGCTACTCCCAGGTCGCGCTCCCACTGAACAACATATGAAAGAGAAGTATGCGACGAGCGTCTGTTCAGAGCTGAATAAGAAGGGATATAAGGCCCGGAGCGCCCGGACGCAGTTGGCAGAGCTGTTCAAAGGCAGATTTCTGGTACGGGAACGCAGAAGTACCCCGCAGCGAGAGCAGCCAGTGTCGCAATTGAAGATATCGAAAAAATTCCGCCGGGGGGATATTCCGGGATTCCCGAAGAGAGTCCCAGGTGGGAAAGGACCGAAAAATCAAAAAGTGTCGCACCTGCGAAAAACCATTAGTCACCCACCAAGAAAACGCCCCTGGGTGATCCAAACCCGGCGGGAAAAGAGGGTTGTTAATAATTGGGAGCAAAGGCAGAAAAGGTGACATCAGGCCACCAGAGTAACGTACCGAGTCCCAAACTTGTAGGCCATGAAGTAACATCGGACTCAGTGCCATAGGGCGCAGGGCAGGGGGAAGCCATAGAAGCGTTGACAGTGCGATAGGGGCACAATTAGGTAGTTCCAACAGGACCCAGAGGGGGACGTCGGAAGAGGCGTGCAACATAGACAGCGGGGCAATCTGGCTCGCTTGATAATACTTAGTCACATTAGGCACCCCAAGACCACCCTGAAGTCTATGGGCAAAAAGCGTACTTTTGGATACTCTGGGGTGCTTATCGGCCCAGATAAAACGCATTAACTTCGCCTGAAGCAACCGAAGAAAATGAGGGGGAACCCGCACCGGGAGTGTGCGAAAATAATACAACAATTTCGGCAAGATGGTCATTTTCACCGAATTAACCCGTCCTATCCAAGACAGGTGCGGAAATTGCCAAGAATGCATAAGAGAGGATAGAGCTAAGCAATGGATAGTAATTCGCAGCAAACAAGGAGTCATAAGTGGGGGTCAAGCGAATGCCTAAGTATTCAAGAGAAGAGGAAGCCCATTTGTAAGGGAAGTGGGATTGTAGGCGCAAAACCAAATCTGAAGCCAAAGTAATATTGAGGGCGACAGTCTTATCCAAGTTGATACGGAGACCCGAAATCAAGGAGAAGCGCTCAAGAACCTGTTGCAAATTAGGAAGCGTCGTCAGGGGGTTAGTAAGAGTCAGGAGGGCATCATCCGCAAAAAGGTTCAGTTTGAATTCCTGTCCCGCGTAAGGAACCCCCGATACATTGCAATCGGTCCGAAGCGCCAAAGCCAACGGCTCAAGCGCCAGGACAAAGAGCGCTGGGGACAGGGGGCAACCCTGTCTCGTCCCTCGCCCAATAGGAAAGGGATCTGAAAAATACCCAGCGTATTTGACGGAGGCCGAAGGAGAAGAATACAAGGCCTGAATCCAAGAAAGAATAGAATCCCCAAAACCCCAACGAGACAGCACAAACCGCAGATATTCCCAGGATAGAGAATCAAAGGCTTTATATATGTCTAAAGACAGTAAGAATCCCGGGATTTTCCGCTGTTGCAGAAAATGTATAAGATGGACCACCTTACGAACGTTATCACCCGCCTGCCTCCCAGGGACGAACCCTACCTGGTCCCTGTGGACCAGGCTACGCAAATATTTATTAATGCGGAAACTAAGGATCTTGCCCAATATCTTCAGGTCTTCATTAAGAAGAGAAATAGGCCGGAAGGCTTGCGGTTCCTGTACATCATCGGTCGTCTTAGGAATCATGGCTAATATTGTTTTTTTAGGAATGTGAAAACATGCTTTAAAGAAAACCTGTCATTTGCAGTATATGTAACAAAAATAAGTTACCTTTCAGGTCGGAACTCCTCTGGATCAGTCCAAAGTGCAGGGTCACGGTGTAAAACATAAGCTGGAATCACAGTCACAACTCCCTCTGGGATGGTTACTCCGTTAATCTCTGTTGTTTTCTTACAGACTCTTTCAATTCTCCCAGCTGCAGGGTACAGTCGCAGGCTTTCATAAATCACCATGTCCAAATATTCCATTTTCGTCAGAGCTTCATAAGTAAGAGGAGCCTGTATACAAATAAAGCCTTCTTAACATTCTAGGATACTTATTCCAACATGCTGCTAATTATATATTAGCTTAAAATATAACTAAAGGATTCAGATATAAACATAGTGGTAACAAAGTAGAACTGCATAATAATTTGTTCAACAATGTCTTTACCTATATAATAATTATAACTTTTGGAAACCACTACCTCTATGTACGTTTGTTCATTGACTTCTATATTTGTGCACCTGCTCTGGAGTCAGAGGTACACATGAAATATTACACACATGACATGTTAAACTACATTTCCCATTTGCCTCTTGAGGACATCTGTTTTGGACAAAACATGTAGGGGCATGGTTATTGCATGTGATATCACTTCCAGTTTCAGCATCCAGGTTTGTGGAATGCGAGGTTATATGTTTCTGGTGAGTTTTCCAAACCACTGGGGTGTAAGCACTGGAGTGCTTTATAGGTTATTGGCACTTTGTGTGTCTAATATATATATTTTTTTGTTTTTTGCTTAACCCACTGGTTAAACCAAAAAAAAATTGAATCATGTATGGCTTGCCTAATATATATGATTTTGATGGCCGGCTCTGCCGGCTGTTAACATCCACAAACAGCGAATGCACCTGATTGAATGCATCCACTTTTATCTGACAATTTTCCACATGGCCCCTGTGATTTTTCAAGAAAGAAATGACAGGCAGGAGGCAGCCAACAGGAACACTCAAAAGTTTTCCAACATTCCTGTTCAACAGAAGTCGATCTAACCATCAGTTTCTGTTTAATGGGGATGGCCATACATGAATCAAAATTTGGCTGGTCCCCTCGTTTGGCTGATCCACGTATGTCAAGCTTAACTTTCTAAGAAAATTGTATCCAAATACTTACCATAATTTTCCTTTCCCAGCGCCAGTCCATGGCAGCATACTACCACATGTATGCTTCAATGTTAGCACCAGGAAAATTGATTACCCTGAGTAACCAAGCAGAGTTTCTGACAAGTCTTCATTTAGCAGTAAACAAAATAAACATTACAATATGTGTGCTCTCTAGTTTATATATTTAAATTTTTTTTTCAATACAATGTCATTTTTTGCCATTTCTTTTGAGCTAACACTTTAGTGTATTTTGAAAATAGAAACGCAAAAAATAAAAACAAAATTATGATTTACCTTGTTAGGTAAATGGGTCTCAATTTCTTCTTGCAGTTTAGTTTGGACATCAGGGTGTGTTGCCAGGAGGTAGGCCATGAACATAAGTGTAGTGCTAGTTGTCTCATAGCCTGCTATGATGAAGATAAGTCCCTGGGCCATTATCTCAGTGTCCGTCAATTCTGTGAAAAAAAACAGTTTACGTGTTGATGCGATAGGAAGTGGAAGAGAAAGAGCAAAAATTGTGCACTTAATACCTGCGTGAGTATGCTTCTGTACACCTGCAGCTCTATTGAAACCCCTTGTACCTGCACAGAGTTTGTACTCAAACGCTACTGCAGACCAACTTTTACTGATTCCATTAACTGTATGAATAAATTACTATTTTAAGAAACATTTACCTACTGGTTTGTATAATCTTATTTTACCTTAAAAGTCCCCATGAATTCTTTAAACACTGCAAGGAATACATTCTCATTTATAGGCTCTGCATTGTACTTGATGACATCAGCAAACCTGCGAATGCTGGTGTCAGAGCCTGGGATCGAACCGGGGCCTTCTGCGGTGAGAGGCAATGTTTCTTCTCACTGAACTACCTGGGAAGCTGGACAACACTCTGCCTGATCTATTGGACGATCCTGCCTTGTTTTCTGTTGAACCTTGAACTCCTTGCTCCTCCCATGAACTTCCTGATAAAAGCCATGCCTCTGCATTTCCTCTTTTCCAGATTATTGTGCCTTCCCAGCCAATATCCCGCTTATTTTTCCTGCTGCCGTCTACATCTTTGCTACCGACCTTTGGCTTGGTACTGACTACAATTTTGCCTCATCCTCATCTGCTACCATTTGTGACCGACCCTTGGCTTGTGACTGACTCCGCTTCTGTTTGATCCCTAACCTGTTTGATCCGCTATTGATTTCCAGCTTGCTCATTCCCTGGTGGGGTGATCCTGAGATCAGCGACCTGGTATTAACACGCAGCCAAATCCATCTCCACCACTAGGAGCTCTGGTGAAAACTGGTTAATACTTAGACCCTGCACCTCAGGTGAGCCTGCGCTATTTCCCAGGGTGGGCCACTGGTGTACCAATCCTGCTGGTTTCAGGTAAGCCGTACAACTGCTGTAGCAACTGGTCTCTGAACCTGACCCAGACTGTGACAGCTGGAGCATGAGGGAGAAGAGGCTGCAGGTTGGATTTACAGCCTGGAGGGAGCCTGTGAGAGCAGGACCATGTATGAAAAGTGCTTCCAGTACCCTAGACCCAAATGAGCATTTAACCCATGCAATGTGGGGCCAATCCCACTGCCAGGAAGGATTGTATTTTGCATGATCAGCTTTAGTTGTTTTTGGATTTAGTGTGTTAGGAAAATTAAAATCAAGCTCCAATATCCAACTCACAGCAGTACAATACCTTATCCTGCAATAACCTGATCTATCCAAATGCCCTGTCTGATACCCTTCCACATTGTAGACAATCCATAGGTACCCAGTAACTTGCAGGTATCTTTTGTATATGTTTTAAAATATTTTTTCAAGGGTAAGTTTGAAAAAAAAAAAAAAAAAACCCTTTCACATACCTGCGTAATTCATACTCAGCTATACACTACGAAAAAAATGCTCAGGGTACCTGTAATGCAATATTAACTAGGTTGAAGGTCTTTACAAGTACTCTAGTTGAGCAACATCAAGCAATCACAGTAGTGCAATAGACCAGGAAGTGGATGCTATTGTTTTTCTCCTTGCAAAAATGCCACTCCATTCCATCTCATGGCTGTTCTTTGCTACTAAACTCCTTTGTGCCATCTAGAACCTGGATCACTGGCCTCAGCAAGCGGTTTTTATTATTATCTAGGGGCCAACTACAGGCACTTTCCAGTTCATATACACATTGAGTGTAACATTTGATGTTATAAGATTACAGTTAGATTCTTTTTTTTTTCGTTTAATGCACTAATGTGGTGGTTTGATATTCCTCCTATTACAGTAGTTGTGAAGACCTTCTATCCAATGAAAATTGCTTTGTTGTTGCAGAAAATGTATAATTAACTGAATAGTAATCTGGAGTCTGTGGTGTTTCTAGTTGTCAAAAGCTTATATATATTTTGTTCTACCTTTGTAACCATGATTCTCCTCTTCTGATGATGTGCCATCTTTGGTCTGAGAATCAACCAGAAGTTGCAGAAAATCCACCCGGTCCTAAGTAAGAAAACAAGATAAGCGTGAGTTGATATATTAGATCACATGCATAGAAAAGTTATTTTATGACTTGAAGAACAGCAATTTAAGTCCAACTATCATAAATAAGGCTACTGATTTGAGATTCATTTGTGATATTATGGACCTATTTTTGAGAGCAGTAACAGTGGTCAACGATGCTTATTAAAACATACAGGGATTTTTCTCACCTGTGGAAAATCTTTTCTATTAGTGGGAGGGTGGTCAAAGGGCAGAAGAAGAGGGAAGGATCAAAATACTACACGTTTGCTGTCATTAGAAATATAGCAGGTAGTGGAACCTGGTGGAGAATGGGCAGATAACTCATGTAGTTCATAACTGTACCCAGGGAGCTAGCCGTTGCTTTTGGATAACAGTTAAGGTGTTAACAAACAATTCAATAAAAACCACCCATCTTAAATACATATGCATGTAACTCCTAGGAGCATACATTTTTATGTCCTACAAAAGTCATAAACAGCGTTTATATCTCTGAAGAACAAGTCTTCTGCCAAGAAATTCCAGCATTTTCCCATGATAAGACTCTTTGAGAATATGTACAATAGTGGTATCTAATTTCTTTTGTAATTTCTTTTAAATATTTACAGAATTGCAGACAGAAATTACTAATGGAGGTATCAGCAAAACTCATCAAAATTAATAATTTCTGTATAATCAGAAAAATTTCACTGTGCAGGCTATAATCTGTACAATTACAAGAGTACAAAAAAGTGCATCCTTCTTCTACTACTAATGTTTTTTAAAAGTACAATCCAGCCAAAACTGAAAAATAAGACTTGAAATGCATACGGAGAACACAGCCAACATCATTTGTTCACAACTTAAAACTGCCATTCATCCCGTTTATGGGCAGCCTTAGATTAAAGTGATTCTAAAATTGGTTCTAAAGGCAAAAGGTGTTTCACCTTAATGCATTATCTGCATCCTGTTAAAAAACCCCTTTGAATGGCAGCTCCCCCACTATCCCCTCCCAAACACTTGCCTGAGTCCATTCTTGATCCAGCAATGTCCTGTCTGCAGCAGCTCTTCTCCCCTCTTCCTGGTCTGAAAGGCTTTACTAATAGCAATGGGAGCCATTGAGGAGGAGCAGGGGGTGGGGCTGACCTGCACTGTGTGTGTCTATAGTAGATGCACATAACTCATCTCGAGAGTGCGCCTGCACGAGTGCCTCCCCCATAGGAGGTGGCTTCCTATGGCGGCACTCAGAGAAGAGGAGCAGCAGAAATTACCAGCAGGGGAACCCAAGAAGACGAAGTCTGGGAATGAAATGGTTGCCATCTTGGGGTCTTTAGGCAGAACAGCAGTAAAGATGGTCTGATGGGAACATGCCCCTTTCTTCTTCCTTATCCTCCATTGAGAAAAGTTCTTTCATTTATTACTGACACCTGAAACTAGGGATTCACCAATTCCGTTTTATTATCAGCGAGTAGCAGTATCGGTACGTTTGGTCAAGTACTCGCCGATCCTGAGTACCGATACGTTACGGTGCAATTTGCGTTAATGGATGCAAATTGCACTGCAAAGAATAGCATGCGATTTGAACAGGAATACGATTCCTGTCCAAATCGCATGTGGTTTCCCCACTGCTCCTGTGTGAACCCAGGCTTGTCATAGCCCGAGTTCACACAGGAGCGGTGCGGGAAACCTCCCTCCAGGCGTCCCATGCTGAGTGTTAGTGGTAGGAAAGGAGAAAAAGTGGCAGGGATTTAAGATTCCCGCCATTTTCTTTCCTCTCCTTGCAGCTATGACAATTCGGGCTAGACAGCATCTGAATGTATCGGTTATGGTATTGGGAGTATTTTCACGAGTACTCAGAAAAATACTTGTTATCAACACAGATACCGACAATACCTGTATCACCATCTGTGTATAGGGGCACGTCTGCTCAATCACAGGATTCGATTCGATCAATGGAGGGAGAAGGGGAAGGTTCCCTGTTGGACCATCTGTACAGCTTTTTGCCTGAAGACCCAGAACTTCTACATCATACTTTACAATACAGGACCTGTAGTGGTTGCTGGTCCTGTTTTGTATGTGATGAAGTCAGTGATAGGGGAGGCAGTGATCAGCAAGAGCAGCTTGGGACTGGTTATCAGAACTGGAAGCAGCACAGAAGGAGACTGCGGGACCCTGTTTTATCTTATTCCTGAGAAAAAAAAAAGAGCAATAGTTCTTGTATCAGCTGAATCTCTTCTGTCAATATTCTGCAGTACAAAACACACTGTAGCTGTCTCTCACATACAGCAAGCCTAATGTATAAAAGTGTCAAAACTAAGGAGATCATTTATAATGGAGCGTTCACTATCCACTCTCTATTATACACTGCTGTGCTAAGTGTACTGCGGCCTGTCACATACATATCAGGCAGCAGTGTGCATTCTTAAGAGCCCCAATACAGTAAGTTCTGTCTGCTCAATGGAGTAAATAGGGCTTCACAATTGCAGAAAAGCCAATCATGCGAATTGGACAGGTCATGTGACCAGGATCAAAAGTTCATTGATTTTCAATGTACACTGCCAGCTTCAAAGTCGTGAAAAGAACATTAATAAAGCACGTCACTGTGCTTTATAAATGTAAGTGTGGGGTTTTTTTGTACAGCATATATGACTAACCCCCTGCTTTAAATAAAACTTTGAAACATTTGTGGATACCCCAAGCAAAATAAGTGAAGCGGCACAGAGCAAATTTAGAAAGTTGAAAAAAGACCAGCCCCCCTGGTCGAGAAGCTTTCTGGAATCTTGCTAAAGTGGATTAGTCAGAACCCAGAATAAAGTAAAATTTCTTCAGCACAATTGGAGTTTTTTCTGCATGGGATTACCGGTAGAGATGAGCGAAGTATTCAAAAATTCGATTCGGCTGATTCGGCGAATTCAAGGAATAAATTCGATTCGATGCGAATATATTCGCTGCGAATTTAACTTATAAAAAGGGTGTTTCTAGGCTTCAGAGAGCCTTTATATTAGTGCAGAACACTGTACCTTTAATTTAAATGCCCTTGGAGTCTGCTGGGGAAGAGAAATAATACTGTCAGTCAGTATGACATGCAGATGAGTGCCGTCGATCTTAGAATCACCGCACACTTCACTCATTTGGGCAGTCACGGGGCCAAAACCAGAGTGTGGAGCCACAGTGTGGCGGTGGAGGCAGCAGCAATGGGAGGCCATACTGCACCCTATGACAAAATGGAACCCACCAGCAGTGTGAGGAGACCTGAAAGTGGCACATGGCAGAGTGTGGCGATGGAGACAGCAGCAATGGGAGGCCGTACAGGGACCCATGAGACACTCTGGACCTGGCAGCAGCATGAGGAGGCGGTACGGGGGCCCATGGCAGATTACGGGCCTGGCAGCAGCAATGGGAGGCCCGTAATCTGCCAGCACCCTATGACAAAATGGAACCCACCAGCAGTGTGAGGAGACCTGAAAGTGGCACATGGCAGAGTGTGGCGATGGAGACAGGAGCAATGGGAGGCCGTACAGGGACCCATGAGACACTCTGGACCTGGCAGCAGCATGAGGAGGCGGTACGGGGGCCCATGGCAGATTACAGGCCTGGCAGCAGCAATGGGAGGCCCGTAATCTGCCAGCACCCTATGACAAAATGGAACCCACCAGCAGTGTGAGGAGACCTGAAAGTGGCACATGGCAGAGTGTGGCGATGGAGACAGCAGCAATGGGAGGCCGTACAGGGACCCATGACAGATTACGGGCCTGGCAGCAGCATGAGGAGGTGGTACAGGGGCCCATGGCAGATTACGGGCCTGGCAGCAGCAATGGGAGGCCCGTAATCTGCCAGCACCCTATGACAAAATGGAACCCACCAACAGTGTAAGGAGACCTGAAAGTGGAGTGAGGGCGGAGCTTAACCATGGCGGCTGAGGAGAGCCCGATGTAGGAGCTCTCGGACAATCTCCTCCACCCGACCTCCCCAAACCCCTACCTGTGATGAGGAAACGTGGTGAAAGGGGTTGCTGCGGCAGGGTGGTCCCTGCTGGATGGACGGAAGAGCTGTGGGAGAGCTAGTCTGGGAGACGGGGTTCGGATGCGGTGCTTGGTGGCGAGGGCGTGTCTGGTTGCTCGGAGACGTGGAGGAGCGGTGCGGCCACGTGGTCAGCCGCTAAGCAGTGCTGGGAGACCAGGAAGCCGGCCGGTGTTCGGAGCGGAGGGAGAGCAGCTGCCTGGCTTACGGGCTCACTAAATGAAGTCCTGTTGCGGGTCAAATAACCGGACTTTTGTCTGCCGGCAGACTATCTGGTGCCCAGCTAGCTAGCTCTCGATCTGCAGTCCCCTATGTTAAACCTAGAACCCGGAGCCCTGGTGGTCGGTCCTTACCCGGAGATCTGCCTGCCGGCTTATTAGCCGAAGACCTGACCGTGGGCCAACTACATGGAGGCATACTTGGTGGTCTACTGTTCGGGGTCCTGCTGATTGGCCCACTGTTCAGAGCCCTGTCTGTGAAGGAAAGACACTGGGGATTGGAGAGACACAAAGGTGGAAGATACACTTGGGAGCCCTCTAAATACACACACTGCCCAGCCGAACAACAGTGGAAGAGAGCTCCTAGCCGGGTCACGAGAGGAAGAGTGACACGAGGAGGGTGAGTGACTTTGGTCGACACTTGATAAGTATGGTCCCCTGTTGTAAACTGCTTAGGGGAAGAAGTGTATGAGAGTAAAAAGGGGACCCCCCTTGACTGGGGAATGTAAAGGAGTGGAAAAGAGAAGAGGGTAAACGAAAGAAAAGTGTGAAAACCAAGTGAGTGGATAAGGTGCGATTTGTTTATTAATAATTGTCTCTCCATAAACCCCGAGCCTATAAAGAAGAATAAGATTCATAGAAGAATGAAAAATAAAAATGCAAAAGGAAGTGGGCCTAAAGGGACTCAGACCGGTACCATTAAAAAATATACCTCCCAGGGAAATATAACTCCAGAAAGATCTCAGGGAAATAGTGGAAAAGGAG